ACATATCCTTCTTTTGTTGAGGGCTCCAAAACTGAACACAGTACTCCAGGTGAGGTCTCACCAGAGCAGAGTAGAGGGGCAGAATCACCTCTCTCAATCTGCGGGCCCCACTTCTTTTGATGCAGCCCAGGATGCAGTTGTCCTTTAGGCTGCAGATGCACATTGGTGGCTGATGTACAGCTTTTCATCCACTACTACCCCCAAGTCCTTTTCCTCAGGGCTGCTTTCTAGCACATCATCTCCTAGCCGGTATTGTTAATGAGGATTGTCCCGTCCCAGGTTCAGGACCCTGCACTTGGCCTTGTTGAACCTCATGGGGTTCACCTAGGTCCACTTCTCCAGTCTGTCCAGGTTCCTCTGGATGGAATCCTGTTCCTCTGGCACATTGACTGCACCACCCAGCTTAGTATCATCAGCGAACTTGCTGAGGGTGCACTCAATCCCACTGTCAATATCATTAATGAAGATATTAAACAGCACTGGTCCCAGTACAGACCCTTGAGGGACACCACTTGTCACTGTCTTCCATCTGGACATTGAGCCATTGACCCCTACCCTCTGGAGATGCGACCATCCAGCCAATTTCTTATCCACTGAACAGTCCACCCGTCAAATCCATATTTCTTCAACTTAGAGAGAAGAATGTTGTGGGGGACTGTGTCAAAGGCCTTGGGGAAACTCAGATAGATGACATCCATAGCTCTTCCCTTGTCTACTGATGCAGTTACTTTATTGTAGAAAGCCACTAGGTTGGTCAGACAGCACCTGCCTCTAGTAAAGCCATGCTGGCTATCTTGAATCACCCTCCTGTCCTCCATGTGCTTCAGCATAGCTTCTATGAGGATCTGTTCCATAATCTTCCCAGGCACAAAGGTGAGGCTGACAGGTCGGCAGTTGCCAGGGTCCTCCTTTCTACCCTTTTTAAAAATGGGTATAATGGTTCCTTTCTTCCAGTCACTAGGGACTTCACCTGACTGCCATGACTTTTCAAATGTCATGGAAAGTGGCTTGACAACTGCATCAGCCAGTTCCCTCAGGACTCAGGGATGCATCTCATCAGGTCCCATGGACTTGTGTATGTTCAGGTTCCTCAGATGGTCACAAACCTTATCTTCACTTACAGTGGGAGGGGCTTTGTCTCCCTGGTCCCTGTCTTGTGGGCCATCAACTTGAGAGCTGTGAGGAGACAGGTTGCCAGGGAAGACTGAGGCAAAAAAGTTGTTGAGAACCTCAGCCTTCTCCTCATCTGTTATTACTAGATCCCCAGTGTTGCTCATCAGGGAGGGTACACTTTCTTTAACCTTCCTTTTCTGGTTTATGTACCTGTAAAAACCCTTCTTGTTTTTCTTGGCACCCGTTGCCAAATTCAGCTCCAGCTGTGCCTTGGCCTTCTTGACCTTGTCCCTACACAATCGGTCAACGTCCCTGTACTCTTTCCGGGATACCTGTCCCTGCTTCCACTGCCTGTGTAGTTCCATCTTGCCTTTTAGTTTGACCAGCAGGTCTTGACTCAGCCATGCTGATCTCTTGCCTTCCTTGACCGATTTCTTACATCTGGGGATCCAGAGCTATTGTGATCTGTGGAAAACATCCTTAAAGGTCTGCCAGCTCTGTTCTGCACACTTGTCCTAGAGGGCTGTTTCCCAGGGAATCCTATTGTCTAGTTCCTTTAAGAGCTGTAAGTTGGCTTTCCTGAAATTAAGGGTCCTGACTACGCTTCTCATATGACTCATAAGCCTTAGGACAGAGGACTGCACCAGTGCATGAGCACTACAGCCCAGACTGCCTCCAATCTTGACATCCCTGATGAGCTCACTTGCATTGGTGACCATCGGGTCCAATATTGCTTCCCCTCCAGCAGGGCTGTCTATTTCTTGTGTTAGAAAGATGTCATCAAGGCACTCCAGGAGTCTCTTGGATTGCCTACAGCTTGCTGTGCTACTTTTCCAAGAGATGTCAGGGTGTGGAAATCCCCCAGCAGGGTGAGAGCCTGTGAGCTTGATGCCTCCTGGAGCTGGAGTAAGAAGGCTTAATCGATAGGCTCTCCTTGATCTGACAGCCTGTAGTAGACACCAACCACAAGGTTCCCCTTGTCTCAATCCCTATTTCCTACCCATAAGCTTTCAACCTGCTCACGGCTATTCTTTAGGGACAACTCTTCACACTCTATCCATTTCTTAACATAGAGGGTAGTACCTCCACCCCTCCTTCTTCTCCTGTCCCTTCTGAACAGCTTGTAGCCATTGATAGCCATGCTCCAGTCATGGGATTCATCCCACCAAGTTTCTGTAATGGCCACTATGTTGTAGCTTTCTTTGCTGGGGGTGAAAATGCGCAATTTTCATTTGATGGTTGGCACTTACAATCTAACTAAGTCGGTCTGACAGGCGTTGCTCTGAGGCAGTCAGAACAAACAAAGCTGTGTTCAGATACCTGATGTCCAAACAGGCCTGGGAATCCCCGGAGCTGGTAAGTACTTCATACCAAACTGCCAGGACCAATTTCAGGCCTGCTAATGTCGATAGCCAGAAGAAAGGGAGAAATCCCCTTTGGAAATCATTGTCTAGGGCACCCTGGCAAGGAGTGAGCAATGGAGAGAGGGCCTGAGGGACTCAGAAACCCAGAGTGCTACCCTGCCCCAAAACATCCAGGTATGCAATCATGGCT